TGCGATCGTGTCATAGCTTGTGTGGCGTAGTCCCATCCTATTGAAAATAAACATCATCCTAGTCCAATTTTCCAATTTCAGGCCAAAAAGGTCAGCCAGCATCTTTCGATAGCTCAATCCATTAACTCTGATGATGGCACCGTTTCGTTTTCGAAAAAACATGGTCCGATGACGTTGCGAGCCCAAAAACCACACCAAACTGTCATTTGTCGTGGATGGGAAGGTTATGCGCCAATCGTTCTTGGGTTTTCGATGCCCTAGATGTGTACTGTTTATTGACGTAGCTTTGAAGGTGGAAAGGGTTTCATCACTCAAAATGATTTTCTTGGAAAAATCAATACTTGCATTTCCAACACCCAATTGACGAACGTACGGTGTTATATACAGTCCGTCGATTTCTTGTGTTAGCTGGATCTTATAAGCATATAGGATATAAGGTCTATCAAGATTTTTGTGCAAAATGTAGTGCAGGCTGATTGTGAAATGCCCAATTGCTGCAAATGTCTTGCAACAGATAAACCTGGATTTGCTACGACACTTTCAAGTATAGCAGTAGTTTTCAGTTGATTTGACTAGCCGAGTACGGGTTGAGTTTTTAACATCACTAATCTGGCCGAAACATACAAATTTATCAATTAAATTCACAATTGCTAGACGAGAAAGCGTTCCTCTGTAACCAAAATTGGTACGGATTTTTCGAACTATCTCCGCGAAATTTTCACCATGTTTGTAATGAGTTTTACTATTTCTATGCGTTTCTCAAATGAATATCGATCCATTGTTATTAACCGTATAGATTTTACTCGACAGCTATCAAATATGACAGCTCCATCTGTGACAGATAAAAAATGCCGCGAAATTTAAAACGAAACTTCTTAATGGAAGACCCTGTAGTACACGTATGAACTCAACCTTGTACTTAGAAACTGGTTTTCCAGAACTGGTTTTCCCTATCTTATTTCCTACCTCGTAGGAAAGAGCTCTCTGTCATTAGAATTTTCATACTAATCTTGGATTAATTTTACATTGGAAATGCATAAGACATAAATATGTTCGTTTGAAAAAAAGGACAATGAATATCAAATTGTGATATAAAAGATTTCGTATGTTGTCTCAAACTAAATATTATTGAATAAGAAATATAAAAAATCTATCATAGACTTACGTTTAGTTAGGATTTATTATCTATTTCAATATAGTTATATAATATATTAAATACTATCTCTATATACAATTCTTTTTCTATCATAGCGGCATAGGCTATTTTTATGTATAGAGAAATATCTATATGTTTATAACATTTTGTTATATTGTCAGATTTGAGAAACTATGAAAAGAATTCACCAATATTAACGTAAATATCGATATACTCGCGAAATATACGGTTGATTAGATCTAGAAAGTTACATTATTTTCTTTTTATTTTGCGATGCTTCTAAATTTGCACCATTCAAAATTAAAAATGATTTATATTTCATTACTCTATAAAATATATTGTAAGAACAATGTATGTGTACGTTTATATGGTTTATATGGTTTATATATACGTGTTACCGTTGGGAAGTAACATGATTTGATAACGTCGTTATTTTTTTCGTTACTCGAAAACATTTTTTTCATGTATGTGTGTGTATTATATATATATATTTATTTATTTATAATACATGGATACAGGTATTTATATTTATAATAAAGGGTGTCCCAAAATTCACGCAAGAAGTAATTTTGATAGAAAACACAGGTTTATAATTAAAAACTGTAAATTTTTTATTGATTTATAAAGTATTTTTTGTTATTTTGATGATCTTGAAATTTCCAAAAGTCAGTAAGTTAACAAAAGTCAGGGCGCTATTGTAACAATATATGTTGTAACAATATATAACAATATAATATATTTTTGAGACTAAATAAAGTCTAGTATCACTTTTTCTTCCGACGAATAGTTAGCGAGATATCATAAGTTAAATGTTGAAAAGTTTTCAAGTTTTTCTCAAATATCTCAAAAAAATATTAGACAAATAAAAAAATGTTTGACAAAAGTTGTTCAAATTAACTAGTTGAAAAAAACAGTGTAATAAAAATAAGGCTTCCCATTTAAAAAACGCAAGTTAACCTTCAAATGATCTTGAAAATAGAGGTCAAGGTCATCATAAGGTAGCTCGCTTAAATCCCTACAATTTTTATTTAGATCATTTTTCTTGAAACTTCAATACTGAAGAGTTGTTTGGGGTGGGACATTAAAATGGGACACCCTATATATATGCACGCATGCGCACGCTGTTCGAAATGTATTTTGCTTTTTGGACAATAACATTTAATATAACATTTAAAAAATATTTTAATTTATATTTTAAAAATATTTTAGAATATTTAAAAAGAATAATATTATTAATTAACTTCAAAAACATTTAAAAATTATGTAAAATCTTTACAAAATTATATATAATAACCAACGTTTCAAAAGTAAATTTAATATTCTTTGTTTATTGAAATGTCATGAAAGATCATAGAATAGGAGAATGAAACATTATGGAATATTATATAATAGAATAGAATATACAATCCTAGTATAGAAAAGTATCGTACAAGATTCTACAGATCATGTATAATATATTCACTCGCAAAAAAAGACGGGCCACTAAATTTTAGCATGGTTTTCTGCATATCTTTCAATAGCTAGATAACTCAGCCAAAAATTATCATATTGATATGAAACAAGGCTCAAATTAAAGCTTGGATATTTTTTGTCAATAACCAAACACCTAAAAATGAATTATAATAAATGTTTTACAAAATAGCAGATGTTAAAGATGGGCTTCGATTAATGGGGAAAAAATTTATTTTTTAACTGTTCCACTGCTCAGGGAAATCGATTTTCTAGTACAAAAATGTATGAAATTTAAAGCTCATTTATTTCCTAATAAATCCATATTTTAATCATTTTTCCACAACTCTTTTGATGAAGTTATGCTGTTTTGAGGAAAATGTTATGAGTCAGGATGTGAATCCTATCGAGTATTTATGAGCAACATGCTGAAACGAAGAATAAAAAAACATAATATTCAAACATTAGCAGCACTTCGCAATGCTTTGTAAGAATAATGGAACAACGTAAAACGAGAAAAAATTAGAAATTTGATTTACTATATGCCCCAACGAATAGTAGATTTGTTAAATACGAGAGGAAGCGATACACACTATTAAAGTTAAACACACACACACATACACGCACGCGCACGCATACATACGTATACACACACACACCCACACCCACACACATAGGATCAGATTCTTGCCACTTCCACGCCGTTGATCTTGGTAACATTAAGAGCAGGACATATACATGCATGCATATGTTCACGTATACAATCACATCAGATTTAAATCTGATTATCTACCACCACATGGAACATTTTGGTCGAGTTACATGTTAATTTCCTTTTTAAACAAGTTTTCTACGATAATTTTTATTCTGAATCGCAGGCTTTATGAGAAAAGATTGTCCATTTTGTAACATTTTCTTCAAAACGGCATAATTTTATCAAAATAGGTTGTAGGAAAATTATTAAAATATGAATTTGTTAGGAAATAAATGAACTTTAAACCTCATACATTTTTGTATCAGAGAATCGATTCCCCTGAGCAGTGGAACAGTTAAGAAACAAATTTTTCTTTCCTCATTAATCGAAGTCTATCTTTCACATCCACCATTTTGTAAAGCATTTATTATAATTCATTTTTAGGTTTTTGGTTATTGACAAAAAATATCCAAGCTTCAATTTGAGCCTTGTTTCATATCAATACTAATAATTTTTGGCTGAGTTATCTAGCTATTGAAACATATGCAGAAAACTATGCTAAAATTTAGTGGCCCGTTTTTTTTTGCGGGTGAATGTAGATTGTTTTTTATTGACTAATGTATCAATATTCATAATTGGTATAGCAAAATATTATAAAGTAATTCAGGATATATGGAAGTCTCATAACTTTGCATTATTTGTCTGTTGTAATAATATGTGGGATAATGGAATTAAAATTATAAATGATTCGGGACAGAGCATGTTTCTGTTGTGTTCGATCTATTATTTTGAGCAGGGCAGTCATATCAGGATATGGATTTAATATCTACAAAATATTCAGAATACCTTGATTTAAATGTCCGATCGCTTATATATAAATAGAACTCGTTAAATTAAATAGCACAATTTTTACTATTTTATAATCTATGACTTAAAGTATAGATACATTAATAAAATAAAATTGATTAATCGACGCGCACGATGAAGTCTGTAAGGCAGTTCGAAAGGACGTGTTTTGGATTGGTTTCTTAATCTCCTATTAACGTGGTAAATATAAACATACGACTAAAGATCACGCGTGAAATATAAGATAATGCTATTCACTATTTACAACGCTGTTTATTCTGCTTTCCGTTACCATTCGATGTTTTCTGTTATTAGGAAAACAGTTAAAAACTCAAAACGTGTCTTTTTCAACTATCTATAGAATTCGTTCCACCGTATTACGTGTGTCAATTGACTAATTTAATTTATTTAATATCTCGATGTGTGCTTTATGCAGTAATTTATAAAATGGTAAATATTTTTCTATATAGTTTAACGAGTTTTGTCTGTACATGTGTCATCAGAAGTTTTAATCCAGACATTCTGTATATATTGCAGTAATAACTAGTAATATTTAGTATCAAGTGAAAAAGATGTCTTTTTGACTATATAATTGGACGTACAATCGCTTTACACTTATACGAGGCAGAACGTATCGGTGTGTCGACAATTTTAACTTATTAGTCGAAAAGATCGATTGATTTACCAAAGAAAAAGAAAAAAAGTATAAAAAGAAAAATAGTAATCATCGTGGTAATGTTTCGAAATTCTTATTGTGTTATAAATACTGTTATTTATACTATGGGTCATGCCTAGTATAATGGGGTTCCTCAAGGTCACAGCGATTGATTAAAATCTACAGCGATTCGAACGTCTGAGCTTTACACGGATTGGTCGCTGCTTGCGCGATCGCTATGTTCGGGGGCCGGGATCTTCTTAAGAGGTACTGGTAAATGCTTACTTCACGTTCGTTCGCTGCTTTTAGTCTCACAGTCGGTATTCTGCATTCGAAGAAGACGATACGTCAAAACGAGGAAAGATGAACAAGCGTGAGTAAATTTGTTGATCGACAACGATACTGAGAACGATGCTGATCTAATAGAATTAGTCTTTACCATATGTTTTGTTTTTTTCGTTTTATGATGATTGACGATTGATGGACACAAATAAAATTGATCATCCGGTTATGTCTGATCCGCAAAATGATCAAAATGGGGATTCAAATCGAGTGATTTCTACTTAGATCTAAATTCTAGTATTGTAAATACGCCTGGATTGACCATCTCTTATTTATCTATGATAATCAATATATCTTTCTACGACTATAGCATAAAAACACAACTAAACATAATTATATCGGAATTGAAGTTCAGATACCGTTTTTTTCAATCGACAGTAAAATGTTTTAGAGAATGATAACGTAAATGACGTAAATATATTTTATAAATTACATGTCTATTATCGATTAAATATAAAAATTGAATAATCTTCAACTTTATTATTCAAATTGAAGAAAAGCAAGGGCGTTTTTAGCCTTTAATATTATCTTATATGTAAATATTCCGAAATTTATAAATACATTGCTTAGATATTTTCATAACAAATGTAACTTGTATAATTCAGGAACTGATGTATTTATCCAGATTTTATTAAAAATATTTTCTTTCTTGTTCTTGTTCTTCTTCTTCGAGGGAGAACTCGTAGATATTTTTGTTTAGCTTTTGCAATAACATGATTAGATGAGATATCGATGTTATAATCAGCACTACGCTAAGCTCTGCGATAACCTCTTTGTGCTTCAAAATGCTCATTACTAAATGTGCTTATCGCTATCGGCATACGGCTTTCACTTCGTAGCTCATTTCAAATTCTTTCGGCTGGATGACGTGCATTATTGATATGCGTTAATTTATAGTCGAATATTCCATGATAATTCATGTTCGAGGCGAGTCATAGTTCTCTCGTGATAGTGGTTTCAAGGTGATCCGCTCCACCATCTGCGAACCATCTTTTCCCGTCAATACCGTCGATTTATATTCTGCTTATAAAGTGTTAATTTTTTTTCTTGTTACTTATTATTAGCATCATAATATCTATATCATTTTACTGTACATGCAATGAATTTGTAATAATACTAAATTTAGTCGCATGTTTAGCCATAATTTAATTTCTAATTTTCTAGTTAGAACAGTACTTTGCGATTTGCGTATCATATACTAAAATCATATACTAAACTTGCATATTAAATATATAAGTACTTTTAATTTTAAAATTTAATAAAAATTATAAAATGTTATAGCTAAAAGAAAAATATTGATATTCTATCTTAATTTATTATCCTTCCATTTTCATATATGCTATTTTATATTTTAAGAACTACAGTTTACTAAAAAATTTATTATATGTTCCTTAGCAAAATTTAATATGTACATGCGCGCGTGCGCGTACGTCGTGTATATACATGCGCATATGTGTATGTAATTGGAAATGTATCATTGGATACATAGAGATTTATATATGGAAGTGAATAAGAATATTTAAAATATTTTATTGCTTATTTGAATCAATGATTTATCATTTTCACATTGGTATTACTTTCGATATTTATTAACTCAAAATAATATTTGTTGCATTATGCTTCGCTTAGCGTGAACACTGTACTAATAAATAAAGTACTTCTATAAAACACATATGCCATCGTATGATAACTGTTGAACTTTTCCATTCTTGATATCATCATATGGCAACTATTGCCATATAATAACAATAACAATGATAACATATATTTCACGCTACACGCGCTGGAAATGTAGTGTATTCAGTTGGCTATGTTTAATTGTGTCTTTCTGCAATAATATTATTCATAATCATAATTATATCTGCACATAATATATTTATCATCGTATATCTTTTACTTCACGTTTATATTCGTATTCTTTGTCTTATATCTTCGCAAATTCGTGATGTACAATCGGGTGAATCGCGCAGCATTTTATTTTGCAATCTTTATAAAAAACAAACATTTCTTGTAAAACGCATTTCATAATCGCGATTTTAACATAAAATTATAAATTATAAATAATAAATTATAAATTATATAAATTGCGGGGTATCAAGAAAAAAATAACTGAAGAAAATTTCTGTTAAAACATTATCCGTCGAACTAATTGGAAAAGATTATATCAAATTTTAACTGATTGATTGGATTACAAAATATGACAATAATATCCAGATAGGAATTGCATACAGAGTAGATCAAATTATCTGTTACAAACTATTTTCTCCGAAATTACTGGAGTTATAGATTTGAATTTTTTCTTTTTATATTCAATAGAACATGAGAGTTGATTATTTGCGTAAAGAAGATTTTTGAGGAGAACTTTTAAGGAGATAAAGGAAGATACTAATTTTTTTTAATGGAACGAAGTATAATTTCTTTTTATTCGGATAATTTTCATTGAAATTGGTAACATTTACTTGAAATATTTCTTTTTATTCTGCATTGTTAAAGAATGATGAAAAAAATCAATTTGATTTACTGAATATATTTAGATTTCTTCTAAGTTATTTCAAACTTACCATGTTTACAAACGTGTCTGGCATAGAGAAGATAATTTCTTATAAGATATTAATAACTTTACACTTGATTAGACTGGAGAGATGGATAGGTTTCTTCAGTATTATCGAGTCTCCTGCGTAGATTAAACGTTTGAACTTGGACGTGGCGGACCTGTTTTATGGCCACTTCGGTGTTAGATTTCTTTTTGTGGAGATATGTAAAACAAAAGGTAATGATTATTGCTTCTACAACGAAAGAAGATATAAAAATAAGAATACGTACTGCTTGTAGATCTATTACTCTATTAGTATTATCAGATGTCTGAAACAATAGTTACAAATGCATTAATACGTATTTAAAAATTCTTGGACATTTCTCCCATTTGAACGTTAAAAAAAGTCTTTCAAATCAGAATGTATTTACATTATTTTGAATTCGTTTATTTTGATATCCTTCAACATTACTTCGAAATTATCATCCGAAATGTATTTTTTTCCATAACTCTTTAATAATGTAAAATAAAAAGAAATATTTCTCTCAAATAAATGTTATTAATTTTGATGAGAACTATTCGAATAAAAAAGAAATTATACCCTATTCTATAAAAGAAATGAGGGATCCCTCTTTGTTCTCTAAAAGATCCCATTAAAAGTATTTTTGCACGCCAAATAGTCAGCCTTCATATTTCATTTAATGTAAAATTCAAGTCTATAATACATATTCTAGTGGTTTCACAGAGAATAGTTTGTAATAAATTATTTAGCCCACCCTGTATTATATTAGCCAATATCGAAAACTGGTAAGATACCGACTAGTATCGAAAGACTTTTTAGATAGTGGCCCAGTATTGAATCAGTATTAAGAAAGCAATATTAATGGTATTTGCTTGGTATCTGAATTGATATCTTATAATTGTATTCAAGTGATACAGAGCCAAAGAGTACGTTTACAGGACTAATGCTGAAATTGGTAAAAGAAGTGTATCAGATGCCTCCCCTTATCTTTCAGTATCGAAATAATATACTGAATAAATTTCTAATTGGAAATATGAGAGTAATTTTGGCATTGATTTTTGGAACTGTTGTTATAATAGAGAAGTTCGATAATCGGTACTGGTTTTTGGTAATGTCATAGTGGATCATCGAAAAGTTGATATTAATTTTTGGTATTACGTATTTAGTATTATTAGTACTATTTTTCGATTCTTGGCTCATCATAATTATCCCGATATTCAAGTATTATATTAATACACACCATCTAGTATTATTAGGTCATTAAATATGAAATATAATTTCCTTAAGTACTAAGTTCGACAAACTGGGTTCGGGAAAAAATTGAAGATAATGAATTAAAATTAGTCACTCCAAAAGAAGTAGCGAACGAATTCAAGAAAAACTTAAAATCCAGAAAAGCCCCAGGTTTTGATCTTATTACGGGTGAAATTCTTCGTCAACTTCCCCGAAAGGAGTAAACTTAACTACTTCATAAATGCCGCGTTTAGATTAAAATACATACCGTAACTTTGAAAAGTTGCGGAAGTTATTATGATGTTTAAACCAGGAAAGTCATCAAATGATATTCAAATCATATAGACCCATATCTTTATTACCCATAATGTCAAAACTCTTTGAAAAACTACTATTTAAACAAATCAAACTTATAATTGATAAAACTGAAACAATACCAATACATCAATTTAACTTCCGAGACAGACACTCTACGATAGACCAGGTATATAGGATTACTGATGTAATATTGGGTTGTCGGAAAAGTTAGGACGTATTCTTTCTATGTTTTTCAAAGGTCATTTATTTATATAAAGAACAAAGATTAATCAATGATATATTGTCCTTTTTATTCGATGACCTTTGCCATCTTTTAGTGAGCTTCATAATTCCTCGTTCATAGAAGGACCTGTCTTTATCGGCGAAAAACTGAACAAGGTGTTGATTTACAGCCTCATCTGAATTTAACGTTATACTACGCAAGGAGTTTTGAAGAGAGTGAAACAAGTGAAAGTCTGAGGCGCAAGGTCAGGCGAGTATGGTGGGTATGGCAACACATCCAATCCAAGCTCCAATAATTTTTGACGGATGATCAAACTTGTATGTGGTCTCGCGTTGTCGTGATGAAACATAACTCTTTTACGATTAACAAGCTCTGGACGTTTCTGGATAATGGATTCGTCCAAACTGTTTAATTGCCGACAGTACACATTCGAATTGATTGTTTGGTTCCTTGGTAAGAACTCGAAAAACACGACACCTTTAAAATCTCACCACACTGAGAGCATAACCTTCCTCTAATGAATGTCTACTTTCGATGTCGTTTGAGACGAATCATCGCGTCGGGACCGTTTGCGCTCCATTGTTGTAAACAATCCACTTCTCATTACTAATTATCATTCGCTTTAAAAAGGGATCGTTTTCCTCATGTTTAATGAGCATATTGCAGATGCTTATACGCGCCGTCAAATGAACTTCTGTGAGT